GACACCACAGTGTGTGTGTGGTGAGCTGCACAGCTTATTCCCACTTGACCTGAGAAGAAGAAAAAAAAAAAAGGAGAAAGAGCAAGAGAACTTGGGAAGGAGGGGGAGTTCAGGGGCAGCAGGAGTCCACTGAGGTAATCCAGTGACAACTGTGTCTCTGTTCTCAGCTGCTCATATCAAGTGGACATACTTTTAGGATAATTGGGCGCGTATAACCGAAGTGGATCAGGCCGTGTGCATCTCTCACCGGAGAATCCAGCTGGACATCTAGGAGAGAGTAGACGTGTTATGAAAATGACAAACACAGTAAGGTGCACTGTAAACACAATGAGGTTAAAAAAATGAGTATCACATGTGCTTTGTTTCGAGGTATACCACACTTTAGTTTTCCACAGTGTCTTTCCAGTGGTTTAAACTCCTTGTAATGTCCTGACAGAGTCAGAGCGTGGGATTTTCTCTGGCCGAACAGCAGAGTAACACTCCACCTCTACTTGCTGTTGTGATCTGTCAGTCAGCTGTGCATGGTGGCCGTAGGATATGAAAGTCTCTAAACCTTTCAGCTTGTTGAAAATAAAGACAAAGTTGCCTGTTTGAAATTCTTCTTGGCAACAGAAAACATAATTGTCCTTTGTCTGCCAGAAGAATGACGTCTTTTCTCTTTTAAATGTAGCAATGTTTTGGAAGAAAATGTTTGCCGCAAATTCCAAGAATTAGCATGTTTACTGGTCTAAAAAACTGCTGCAGGCTCACTATTACTCTGATAATTAACTAGCTAACATTCACCTATCAGTATCCTAAACTTACTTTACAAAAGGAAAACATGAATAAAGGATAATATTCTGCAGAACGTCTATGCTTATTTTGGAACTATAGCTACAATCAGCTAAAAGCAGAACTATTTTTTTGTTTAGTGGACCAATTAGGTCTGCTAAATTAGGTTTGGCCAACTTTAAGTCTGCTAACAGCTAATTGACAAACTAACATCAAAGTCCCACCAGTCTTCAGCTACAAGAAGATGAAGACGTGATGCAGACTGAATTACAGTCACCTTAGCGATCAGCTGTGAGTGTTAGCGTCGGCTAATTTTTACCTGTTACAAGTTTAGCGTTGGAAAAGCTATATTTTAAGTTAGTGAATTAGCTCCACTCCATTAGCACCACTGCTCTTCACTTTTGTTTAGGCCTTCCATTTTTATGATCATTTGTTCAAAATGAATCATATTAACGACATGCTGACTATAAACAGCTGCAGTTCTGTTTCTAAATTAAAGCAATAAGATCATTTGAAARGTTCTCATATTTTTTTAATAACGAAGCTGTGTTGTTTTTGTTTAATGTTAAAAAAGGAGCCAGTTAGTTTCACATTAAATCAATAAAGCAGCCAATAAATAAAAGTCCTAATGTTTCCAAAGATAAAATTGCTTTAGACAGTGGGATAATCCCAGTTCAAATGTCTTCATAAGTGATCAATAAATCAATCAAGCATATATTCACATTAAAACTAAATATTCTTATACAAACCTGTAAATGTGGTAAATTAAACCTTGTAGCCACATTATCAGATTCTAGTCTAAACTGAAGAATTCCTGTTTTTTAATCATGGTTTGACATCTTGCTTACTTATGGTATTGCCCTTTAACATGTGGTTTTCTGTTTTTCTAGCTGAAGACAGACTATCACCACCATCATGGGTGTTGGGCAGGACCCAACTCATTATAATCCCATTATGATGAGCAGTAGGTCTYTCAGGGCCACCAACATTCTACTCACAGCTACAACTAAACCCGCCAGTCCAACAAAGGTCACCGCTTGTGATTTACTGGTTTCACACAATGTCTCCCAGGAGCGCCATAACATACAGCATTAATTCCTCATCCTGACTGATGGTTAACTGCGGAGCACCACCTATGCACAGAGGAAACTTGGCTGAAGGATGAAAGGTTTAAAATTTCGCCGCATGATTAAAAAATCAGAGGGGATCTCCGATGGCACAGAATTTAAACGTGACGTTTCGAGAGAAAGGGAATAAGTGCTTTAGCATGTGTTGGAAGATGTCAGGAAGAATATTGCTTTTACAATGTTTCAGTCCCTTGGCAATCTACAGGTTTGTTTTCCACAAAAAAAAAAATTGCCTCCCAAGCAAAAATGCCAATCACTGCTTGTTCACGGTGGCTCCACAGCTAAATGCAATTTAGGAATGCTCAAAATTACAGTGTCTGAACGTGTCACTTTGGTTAATCATGCCGAGCATCGCACAAGAGTTTAATGCTTGATGGAAAAGAAAACTTAACTGTGACTCATTTGATTTATGAGCTTTAATGCTTACATCTTATTGTAAGAGATGGACTTAAAGGAAGGGTTAGCTGTCTGAAGGACTTGTTCAGCAGGTGCGTTATTCACCGAGGCCTGATCGTACCGAATGAGACATCATCCAACTTTTCTAGCGCCGTGCCCCAGCTGTGAGGAAATTACTTCTCCAGTTAGAGTGACTGTTAGAGCCATGTATTTACTACAACTTGGCTAATGTTTCAGCTTCATATGAAACCAAATTAAAGACTTCAGCAATATATTTTTGTACTGACAACATGAGCCACTTTGTCTAAGAACCAATTAAAACCTCTCATGCTTACCCTTTTAGGTTTTAATTGATTAATATATTTTTTGGTATACAAACTGTAAAAAARAGTAAAAAAATATTTCCAGCAAAGTTTGCAAATGACTAACATTGTTTCCCTACAATGTGAACCTTACATTATTATTGAGAACTAGATATGAACCAAGCAATCGGCCTGAAATCAATAATATCTGATTTTCGCCTTGAATGGATGATATGGGAGCCTGGCAGGACAAATCTGAAAAAAATCAACATTTTTTTTCCTGTTCTTTAAACAGTCGGTAATAAGAAATTCTCAATTTGTTTCAGGGCATGAATGTATCACCAGCACAGCCTGCTGCTTAATTTATTTAATTTTATCACATGTAAGTAATATTATTTGTTATTTACTTGAAGACTGAGTTTGTAC